AAATTGGTTTTGCTCGTGCATTTGTTCGTTTGGCACTTGAACGTCGTATTTATCTCGTCATTTATCTGAATTATTTTCTCATAGTGATCTTTTACAAGCTTTATATAAACGTGAAGCTTTTTTTACGTAGCGATGATGGAGATTTAAGAAAACAATTTTTAGCTCATATTAAATCGCTTCAATTACTTGATTATAAATGTTTTCAAATTCTTATCCAGATATTGATATTATTTATCATGTTATTATTGTTCCTACCAGAGCACGAGCAACAAGAATTTCTAGTACAACAACTGCTAATCCATATATTGCATTAGCTGGTATTTTGGGATCAACAAAAGTTATACCATTACCATCAAAAAAAAAACACTTGAAATTAAATTCAAAGTAAAATCTTGATTTTATATGAAATAGAATGAAAAACAAAAGTTCATGATGATTTTTATTTTTTTGTTTTGTTTAGCACAAAAATTTGGGTCAATTAACAACACTTCGAATAGGTCATGATAATACTGGTTTAATGCCTCGATGGAATATTGATCATATTGTTGTTCGAAATCAATTAACAAACAATGTTTATCGGTTTGTTACTTTTAATCTTTTTTAATTATTGTTTTTTTAATTTTCATTTCAAAAAATAGATTTCCATGTGGACGATGGTTAGGTAAAGGTGTTGATGATGATAGTTTAGAGCGACTTCTTTTTATTGATTCGACATATTCATGTGAAATGAATGATAATAATACTATTGGTTTATTCGATTCTGGTTCACCATCTCAATTAATGACAACAAGTTTCATAAGTGGTGGATCTCAAGTAAATTTATCAGCTTCTGTACGATCACGATCATCTAGTTTACGACGTGTCAATGATCAAAGTAAGATATTTTCTCAGTAATTCTATTTTAATTCATGACATTATTAATGTCATATGAACGTCCCCTACAGATTTTATCTTCAGTTGGCTCACGGAAAATTTTTATCATCGTAAGATTTGCATGAAATAATGATTTTTTCTTTTTTTGTACTTTTTTTTTCTTTGACATCTCAGCACTACCACTGCTATTGATCTAACAATAATTTTTTTTCCTCTTCTGATCGATCATGTATAATTTGATTCTGTTTATGATTTTGAAAATCAATCAAATCAACAAGCTGATGATATTTATGAATTGTTAGGTCGATCAATTAATCAATTAGTTAAATATTTTGATGAACCTGAAAAAAAGAAGTAATTTAAATAAAGCTTTTTATTTTCAAAAAATTTCTACTAAAAATTATTTAGAGAGGATTAATAACACCAATTTTATGTGGTGAAGATGGTTTTGTTAATGCATTAGAAAAAACTCTTTCCTATGGTTTAAAAAAAAATCAACTGGTAATGTTCCATTTTTTGACGGTGGACGAAAACGATATGTTTGGGACTTCTTAAGTACAACATTTAGTTCTTTACTTTTTTCTTTTTGTAATATTTTTCTATTCAGTTAAAGTTTGTGATGAATATGATGGACGT